CTTCTTTGATGTCAATGGTTTCATTGCATTCTCTCGTGCTATCGTAGGTCATGGATGTTCCACTTCTTATCCCAACTAATTAAAATGCTATATATTGCCTCTCGCCGACGTCTGCTGTTTCATATGGCTCAAGCGTCATTCGGTGATGTCGGCTCCATTGATGATCATCTTCTGAAAATGTACAAGAAAACTGGCCAACAAATTGGATGAGTGAATTTCATCTAACTCCCGAACGTGCGACTCAGAATTTTATTCTCCTTGAACGGCTCGACCCTGTCTAGTCTGAAAGCCAAAAAAAGTTTTGTAGAGGTCAGTGCAACTGGTCTTCACTCCATGATCCCCGAAACTATGGGTCAAGTACGTCGACGATAAATTTGTCACGATCAAGAGGAACGAAGTTCAGGCCTTCAAGGTACAGTTGAACTCAATCCTTCCTGAAGTCCTTTTTCAAATAGAAGTAGAAAATAACAGTCAGTTACCTTTCCATGATGTGCAAGACAAAGGGCTAGCAAGTTGGTGGATAAGGACTGGGGTACGTTGTATGGTGATGAATACTAGACAGCTTTCCTATCTAAAATGTAACCATCCTATTGGTCACAAATCCAGTTATGCTAGAACACTCTTTCAGTTGAGCTCAAGCACATTGTGGCGATGAGGAGGGGAGAAATAAGGAAGTGAAATACCTACCCTACCTGTTCACAGCCAATGTTCATTCACGGTCATACATACGTAAGTGCCTAAGTAATCTCTTCTTGAACGGTCAGACGTTGAGTAGCTGAAGAGTTGGTTTTCTATTTCCTATGAGATGAAGGTTTCGAAGGTGACACCAAGGATTCTGAAACCTACTGGTGGCCTGTAGGTCGTATTTAAGCCGAAAAACTAGTTGACGGCAACGGAATAATCAGCGGCAATCTGAAGTACGCAATGCTAAAACTGCAGTGTGAAGTATGTTGGTGAAGCGGGCAGACGTCTTTACACAAGTCTGCATGAGGACCAGCTCGCAGTTGGCCGCAAGAACAAACTTCCACTGGTATATGCCCATATCCAACGGGAGACGCGCGGTTTCGCCTTTGGAGAAGAAAGCGTCATCGGCCGAACCAATGAGGAAATGTGAAGAATCGTGTCCGAATGTTGGTCCTCAACTGGTACACTCAACCGAGCTACAGACCTTCATCGTGTCTACCATGGCATGACTATAACACCAGACAGGTGCAAAGCTAAATAAGTCCAGGCTATCAGGAGCAGACACTTCAGTAATCCGATAATGAAAATGAAAAAGTCACCGACAAGTACAATATCATCCATGAAGTCGCCAGTTTTTCTTCGTCGCCTTTTAAAGGGAATGATGTGGGTCACCTATTTGTATGGAAGGACTATGACAACGATAAGGCATACTGGAATGGCCACTGCTGGCTCTTATGTCATCATCAACCAGACACATCCAATTCCAGGTTTGCACATCATGAAGCCCAAGTTCGCGTTCCGCTGGTTAGTAGCCCAACGCCCTAAGAGAGAGAGAGAGAGGACTGCTTTATTTTCAAAATAAAGCGGTCCTCTCTCTCTCTCTCTCTAACATCTGACTCAGGGGCTTGTTTTGCTCTCGGCAGTGTTGGGGCCTACCGGTCGAGAACCGGAAGTTGATGTAATCATCGAGTTTCGCGGTCTCCTAATCAACTGTCATACATGACTGATTAGGACACCCTGAGGTTTTGACGCTCCTAGCATACTTGCCTCCCCTACCATAAAGAAAACTGCATCAGCATACTCCAAACATTGGCATCAGTTAAAAGTCCAAACAATCGTATCGCTGCATTTCAGCCGTTGCACTTCAACGATAGGCCTCCTGGGACACCATCTATCCCCAGGCCTGCATTCCACAATGGAGGCTGAGTGAGCATTACTACTAACGCAACGAGAACATTGATGGAAATGACGGAATTACATCTCCAAATCTGGGCCTGGAGGATTGCTCGAAGCAAGCCAGAGTAGAATGGAATTCGAATGAGTACTTCTTTAAAGAAGGGAGTGCTACTCGTGTCCGCGAGAGTTTTAGCAGTTCATATATCGCACCCATTATATGAACATCCACGGATTCGGTATTGGCATCTTTTATATAAAACAGCGATTCGTAGGCAGAACAGCGAAAACAGAATCATAAAGTGGAAACTCGGACGATTTCAGAGGTTTCCGAGAATCTGAGCTTTACAGGAGAAAGGAACCGCCCCACGAATACGTAGGGCGGATCAGAACGAGTTGATGTTAAGAGGAAAGTCAAGTTATAGCAGGCTGTGATGAGATAGTACGAATACTGGAAATTATCGGTTAATCGATGCTGGCAGATTATGACATGAGAATGAAATTCATGAAGAAAGACGAGCACACTCCTCAGGATGTGGCATATGAGCTATGATCCCGGAAGTCTTTGATCGGATCCAGCTACGGCATTGCAACAATCGACTCAGAGGTGCCACAAGAGACGTGTCCCGTGATGTCTGTTGGCAGGGGCACTAAGGGGGCGAGGCTCCCACATTTTAACGGGCGGTCAGGATCTCGCTGGGAGTGTCCCGCGAGTGAACCGGAAACTACCTGGTAACTGTTCCACATGAAACGCGGACTACTTGTCGAACAGTCAAGTTGCGTCTCCTATGGTAGCCACAATACTAAATGTCTCATTTGTACACTTGCCATGTGCACTTCACGAAGTCATGGAGAAGGCCGCACGGAAACGATGCAGAAGTACAGTAGATGCGCGACTTCATAAAATGTTAACCGAAAATCCGAATTTTGTTTTCAATTTGGAAAGATGAGCTAGATGAGGCCGTAGGATTTATGGTCACGCGGCAGAATCTCAAGAAATATCAGTCATGCCAGTTTGCCGGCCTTAAACGAGGTTCATTCGGCTTGTTTGCAAAAAGTACACTCTGTGAACTATAACCACTTACATGTTCCAAAATGTTCTTTCTTTCACTCTCTTTTGGTAGAAAGTTACATATACTTCAAACTCTATATTCGACGAAATATTATATTTCAGTTTTAGAAAATTCTCCAGTTTCCGAATCATTTTCAATCCGACCTGCCGTCACAGTTACGTTCATGTCGTCCAAACTACAGGATGTGTATTTTCCGTGTTAGGCAAATTATGCACTTCTATACGCAACAGAGAAGAAGCCGTGTGGCTTTCATAAAACTTTGCAGTGCATTAATTTTTTACTATATATTTCACAGGCAGCATTAGTTAACATAGAGATGTGGTGCTTTATGAAATGAAATTTCACGGATATAAAAATCTCACAATAATACAGTTTTGTTAAAACCTGGCGGTAGTGTCTTTTAAGTACAAAATTGTACGAATAAATAATTCGCAGACAAATGAGAAAAATGACACATTTTGTGCGTGTTTTCTGTGAGGCGTATTTAAGTGTACAAGGACATCGAAAACCAATTGGAACAATCCATACTACTAAACGTGTCATTTTTTGCTGAATATCCTATCCCTTCGAAACGAAAGCACGCCTCAGAACCTCGGTTAACATTTCATGGGGTAGCAGAGCCTTCTATGAAAAGCTGACAAGGGGAGAGTGTTTAAAGTTGGTGGAGGTATGTGGATAAATATTGAGGAAAAATTACGAATGTTATATTGAACGAATAACTGGTGCAGGGATTGAAATCCGACAAAGGTTTGAAATGTTGGCAGAAGCCTGAAATGCAGCGCCATCTAGTAAAGTCCTTCTCACTTGTCTAAGATTCTCGTACTAATATCGATTCCAGTAGGTGGGTTTCTGTTTAGTGTTAGGGTTACGGTTAAGAACAGGGATTAGGATTGCGGTTAAGGGTTCAGAGGTTAGTGTACGGGTTAGCATTTGGGGGGTTAGGGATGCATGGGTCAATGTTAGGGTTAGTATTTGAGGACTAGGATGGGGGATCAAGGGATAGGTTCGGGTTAGGATTTAGAGTTATTATTTAGGATTAGGTTTAGAGTTATAATTTTCGGATAGGGCTTAGGGTTCTTCATTTTGCCAGTGTGGTCGTAGATCGGATCTTTGCCGAAATTATATTTATCTGCAATCGGAGACGGAAGTCGGCTTTGAGCTAGGGCTCACAGAAACTTAACGCTGTTCAGATAGTTTCTGATTGAAGAGGAAGTATACGGATGCGTCTAATACAACTGACTTCATGTTAAATACATTTGCAATGTTAGAACGACTAAATTCGCTCTCTAGATCGGCGAACGTCACAACCAAGAAATTTTATCTCAGGCATTTCTGATTGCTGTAGCATGAAGTGAAGCCGCCGAATAGCAGGTTCGTCCACGTATTTCTGCATCAACTAAATCCCCTCCCCGAAGTTTCACGCCCGTTCCAGGAAACGAAACCGCATGGATATGCAAAGCTGACTTTCAATGCTAAGAAAAACGTGCTGTTGTCCAAAATAACTACTTGAGTAGGATTAGTTTTTGCATCGGTTTTCCACACCCTTCTAACTACGAGTATATTTTATAGAAAAGATGTACAAAACGTATTCTTTCTACTACTCATTTGGCAGAAAGTTGCGAATTCTTTAGATTTTATATTTGAAGAAATAGTATCTTTCGGTTTTAAAAAACCCTCTAGTTCGCGAATGATTTTGAAACCGACCTGTCGTCTACCTCGCATTTCTATGTATTGCTATGGGCTACTAAGAAGAAGCCGTCCGGCATTCATAAAGTCTTGTAGGCGATTTGATTCATAAGCAGCACTAGCAAACAAAGAGATACGGTGGTTAGTGAAAGGACATTTCAGTATCTTAAAAAATCTCAGAATTATAAACTTATCTCAACCTGGTGATACTCCTTTCTAAGCATAGAATTAGAGGATGTAATTCTCCACTATATGAGCAAATGAATGATCATTTCGGTGGGTTTTCCGTGAGACATATTGGAATTTATTAGGGCAGCGATAATTCATTGGAAATATCCATGCTACTCAACCAGTCATTTTTCCTCAGTATAGTTTATCCAGACGAGACCAACGAAGCTCGGTCAAAAGCTGGCATGATTATATGACTGAAATATTTAGAGGTGGCGGAGATGAACAGATCACTATTCAGGAAAAATTACGAATGCCATGTGGAAAAACTAACGGGTGCAGTGGTTGAAATACTTCAAAATATTTTTAATCCGGAATAGCAGACTGAAGTCAGCTCTCAGCTGAGGGACTCACAGAAATTTAAGGTTATTCAGATAGGTATGATTTAGAGGGATGAATAAGGATACGTCTAATAGAAGTGACTTCTTGTAAAATACATTTATATTGTTAGAACGACTAAATTCGCTCTCTAAACCGGTGAACGCCACAACCAAGTAATTTTACCTCAGACATTTCTGATCACTTCAGCATGAAGTAAAAACCGCCGAATATCAGGCCTGTCCACTTAATACTGCAGCAACTGAATTCCCTCCTCTAAGGTTCACACTTCTTCTATTCCGTAACACGTGATCAGCACCTGATGCAACAGCCGCCGGTGGGCATCCGAGTCGTTGGTCGGGTTCAAGGTCGCACGAAGCCAATCGATACAACTTAATCCTTGAACTGCGTCACAAAGCAACTCGACCAGCTACGAGATGCTCAGTCCAACGAGAATGTTACGTCGTTACATTAAATGGTGGAATGATGTTCCAGATGTAGTTGGATCATCAACTTTACCGTATGAACAAGGCATATTTACTCAGGATGTAGGCGGACCGCCATACGCGGATAGCAGTAAGTCCATTCCTCGTATCCTTCAAGATTCATTCTTCCATCATCTCATCGTCTACAACACTTACGCCACAATTTGAATGCGTATAAATAAAGTAGTTTGAGAAATTATGAATAAGGCATATGCATCGCAAAAGGTATTTATGAATGCATGACCTAGCTTACATCGGCCGATCCGTTAAACCTACTTTATTAATTTTAGCCATCTAAGTGTCACATATCCAATATGTATGGCCGCGGATGAGGGATGACATCGGGCATAGTGTAGCATTGCTTTAGATTGTTGATGTAAGCCTTCATGCATTCAGTTTAAATCCTGACTTTCTCCCTATAAGTAGATCAGATTTCAAGTAATGAATTTTCTTCAACTTCTCTTCTAGTTCCTAGTGCATCACAATACAATAGGTACGACTGGCCAAATTGCTCAACTCCCGTCAGCACGCTTAGCGTAGCATCCTCGTCTACAGCTCCCATGACTTTTAAGGACAATAGAAACGCGGACAGTAAGGAGGAATCTAGCATTGAACAGGACATAAGTTTTAACTCTTATACTTCCGTATGGACAACTGGCACCGAGCACACAGCTGTCCGATGGAGATCAGCTCCCTCTAGACTAGGTGAGAAAATCTCCCAGGCAACAAGTTTGGAATATGTCAGTCGCTTGAGCCTCACAAGTGAAGAAGACCTTCGCACTCTGGAAGCTAATTCAACTCCCATAAGGCAACTATCGAATTACGCGTATCATAAGGAGTCGGAAGGTGAAGTGGATAATGTATCAGCAGCCGGTTCAAACAGCTCCATTTCATCAATATCGTCCTCATCCTCAACCCACACGTTTGATCCCCAACACAGGGACCCGGGACCCACAACGATAGCATTTAGTGCATCGAATCCCCGTCCGACTCCACATCCGCGATCTCGCAGGTTGGTTCTGAGACAATCCCAACCAGCAGCCCCGTCGCCGCTGTCACATACTCCACAGCCGCAGCCACCACCACCACCACCACCGCTGTCGTTGTTGGCACCAATGCGATCAAGGAAGTCGCCACTCTCACATTCTCCACCACCTCATCCGTTCACGGCGCCGATTTCGCCGTCACAAACTCTACCAACAACGTTCCCCTGTCTGCTGGACTTGGAGTTGTGCAGACCAGTGACGTCACCACAACGACCCTGCCCACGGCCGCGACACTCGGCCACCCTGACAATCTCAACGCCAAAGAATCCGCCACCACCAAGGTCGTTGTCCGCACTGCCACACCCGCCACCACTTCCACCACCACCGCCACCAGGATGGTTGACATTGAAACGGGTGGAGACAGTAGCGACTGCAGAGGAGTACACGCCTCCGTCTCCGAAGCCGTCCCCTGCCTCATCCCCGACTCCGTCTCAGCTCCTAAATGCACTGATTGCGTGGCCGTCACCGTCGCCGTCGTCGCCGAAACCCTCAACCCCATTGACACCACTGCCGGAACCCTTGTCGACGCTGACCCCTTCTCCACAACTTTCTCTTCCACTGTCTCAAATCCCAGTGGTGTTGAACGGGTTGAGTTCATTGCCATTATCAACCCAACCCTCCTCATCACCAGAACTGTTGAAAACGACTACCTCGTTTCCACCATCATCCGCATCACCCTCCCAGCTGCTGGTGCCGTTAAAGACGTTGACGCGACCGCCGCCGCCGCCGACGACGACGCCGACGCCGCCCTCATCGCCGCCACCACCCCTATTCATTTCGCGTCTCTCGCCTGCTGATGAAGTCGGCTTCCTTAGCAGCCATCTCAGCGAGACACACGGTTCCGATCTTCCTCTCAGAGAGGGTGGTGACTCACCCCGGAACCCACTGACACGGCTCCTCCAGACAGGAGTTCCCCAGAAAACTGAAATGAGGTGGACTCAGACAACTCCAGTCTTGGACAGCAGCGGCGACGGCGTTGTGAACGTGCAGCTGACGTCCAATGGTATGTCGAAAATGCGGATTTTAAATATTTACAGTCTCTTTGACAAAATTCGTTTTAGGCCGTAATGTCTACTGTGTTAAATGGACAATGTGTGAATAGAAGCGAAGAGACGAGTCCCAGGAGGCAGTCGGAAAGAAGGAGACATGATGGCTGGGACATGGGTCTTACTCGCCTGACGTTTCGGTTTCCTGCTCAAACCCATCTTTTGCTTTTGTATCTGATGATGGGTTCGAACAGGAATCCGAAACTTCAGGCGAATAAAGTCCTTGTCCTATTGATGGTGTCTCCTTCTTCAAGGGACGATGTGTATCTGCCCTGAACTCGGGTAATGACTAAAAACCACGTATATGGAATTCACCGCCTGACGTAGACTGAATGAATTTCCTTTTACTTTCAAGACAAAAGCCTGGCCCCGTCGCCCACACTGGTCAAGGTATGTGCTCTTCTTGTTAGGATATTTTTGACATTTGCGTCTTTGAATTCATCTGAAGGTCACTTTCGTTTCTTTTATCTACAGAGGCGAGAACCCCGACGCTGGAGGCGACTGATTGCCACGCTGCGCAGGTTGTTTTGCCTAAGCACATAGAGGGAATCTCAGCCCTACCAGATCTTCCCCACCGACTGTAGTGACCGCCCACCTAGAATTAAGTAGTATTTTTGTATGTTATTTACTAATTAAATAAACTTCTGATCAGAAATTGGTCTTCTCACTATACAATTACAATCGCTCCCGTACGCGGAAACAGATATCGCATCACGGTACGGCTAACTTATCGTGGTCTATGTTGGCGTGCTTATAAGGGAAGCTAGATCTTCGCTTTGTCTCTTTGCACTTTCTTGTTTACCCGAACTTTACTGTATTCTTGTTTGAATATGCCAGAAATACACACAACCACCGGTTTCGACTTGCGATAACGCGTGTTCAGGTTTAGATACCGTCTTATTTCGATCGTTCATAAGTCAGTCTCATGTGACTGAATACGTTTTAGTTGGGCGGGTAAAAACCTCTGGCGGTTAATTCTCAGTCAAATCTTGCCGGAATGTAATTTATCATGTCGACGAGCCCCATCAACGAGGAGCAGCTCGAAACGTTTGAGAATTATCAAAAAGGACTCGCACTTTCTGTAGCAACTTGGTACAAGAGACAACTTAACTTTTTGTGAGTCCATACAATAAGTCACCTTCACCGTTTTTCCCATTTATTTCCTCAGTCGCTGTTCATTGTTTGAACGCAAAACCGCTCACTTAGGGTTAAATTTTCCAATAGACATCACTGTATTGTGATTTTGATTATTGTTTACACGCTGCGCTGGAAAACCGCACACCGGTCTGCAAACGTCGGTCGCAGTAAGACAAGGCGGAGAACAGACCCTGAACTTAAAATAACGAACTCCTCTTGCGACATCTGCCATGAAATTGCACCGAAGAAAGGTTGCATTTGGCTTGCTGAATGTCAAGGCTTCGAAACCATGATTTCAAAAGCAGGGGGGAGGTGGAGGGTGGGGAGAAATATAGATTTATCAATGAGGAGTGCTCATAAATCCCAGCGAGATTGAGCTCTCGAAATGGATATGAAGGAATTGAGGATTCTAAAGTAGCTAGAGAAGACGCCTATGCGTGACGGGACAAAACAAAACAACATGGGGGGGGCGGAGGGGAATAAAATTTGCAGAAGAATTCAAAGACGCAGTTGACCTCTGTACAGAGGGAACGACACAAAGTGCAATCAGCCAGCACAAAATGAAAAAGTGGGTAAGGTATAGGACAAAGGCAAGGGGTCTAGGGGCAAGTGGCAAAATGATGTACGATGTGTCACAGCAGAAGAAAGGCACAGAAATGCTTCGCGCAAGTAGCCAATGTGGGTGTTTTGGATGCAATGGCGGGCGTCTCGAGAGCCAGTGAAAGAGACAGAGTTTTTCCCGAGTTATCCTGGAAGCAGAACGCAGAAAAAACCCTAGATGTTGAAGAGTTTGACTCAGGATTTAGAAAAAAGGTATCGCATTAGGTGAAGAATAAGCTTTAGAAGAGCAATAAATCGCAACACCAGTGAAGTCCTTCTCGGGAATGTCTGCGTAGCGCAAGGATTCACCACAACGTATACCACCTTCAGCATACGGACGACAAGAAGGCTACAAGGATGAGCGAATCTCTCTGTAACTGGTGACTCAATGTCAATCGTATTTTCACTGGATGGGGCACGCCACAGAAAGTGGTTATGAATGAAGTAGGCCATGGTAATGCCTGTTCGGCCCTCGTGTGTTACGACTTCCCCCGCGTGTCCTACAGCATGGTGGGTAGCCCAACGCCCTAACCAATGAGCCACCGGCTCATTGTCCTATCGGTTGTGATCGGGTATATTAACTATGGCAGAGGGTCACTCACCAATCGCGTTAGTGGAAGTACTTGTCCCGTTGTGCCTTTTAGTTTGATGTAGGGCCCATGAGCTTAGTTACACAGCGACGATGAACATATGCGAAATGGAACATTAACAAAGGCAACTGAGGCTTGGACGTTCATTTCTGGTTTATTTGTCTTCATCCGCCTGCCAAAACCTCTAAATAAGTTAGTAGCCAATGTGGGTGTTTTGGATACAATGGCGGGCGTCTCGAGAGCCAATGAAAGAGACGGAGTTTTTCCCGACTTATCCCGGGAGGCAGAACGCATAACGATACTCAGGAGTGTTTGTGCTGGTTATCGCTAACAATACGCATCAAAATCTATACTTGCAAGTCCCACGACTGTCAGTTTAATTCAGGAAAAGTCGTCCGCATGGATATTTGAATAAACCCCAAAGGCCTGCGTTGGAATCCGAAAATGAGGAGTACGACAAGACTTCCGGCTGCACTAAATGGTGTTGGACGATAACCAGGCATACGGCAAAGGGGTAAAGGTGAAACATATCTGCAACTCTGGATGTCAACTTTGACATGCCAGAGGAGAACGCAACATAGGCCGCAGGCGCGGGCCAACTGCTTCCTTCCTCGAAATTCTGCGCCCCAAAAGCAACAATCCAGGAAGGAAACTTTTGGCACGACTACCCTGACATCTATGAGATGAAAGCGGACGAACAGTAGCAGGGATGAAAGACGACCGATCGCGAATGCTATTGGCAGAAATCGGACGATCAAATTGTGAGCAGGAGTCAACCTGCCCTGATGATTGTAAACACTGCTGAATCTACCAGATGAAGACTAGATGTTGGAAAGTTAGCTGGGCATGGACCAGGAAATATCCGCAAACATTTGTCCGACGTAACTGCAGTCCACAATGTTTCAGCGAACAGGAAAGCAGAAAGGTGCCTCAACGTTTTACACAAATGCAGAGAGCTAGCTCGACATATTTGAAGGCGTAAACCTGACTGCCTGATAACGTTGAGGGAAAAATATAAATACAAATTACCACAACTCCACGACCATGGTGGATGTGATTCAGCCTATTTGAGTGCACTGTACTCTAAGAATGTAGAAGGAACCGTTAACTTCGTACGGCTTGGCAATGCCTGCACCAATCAGAAGGTGTTCTCTCCAGAAACAGTGTTTGTCAGATCTCAGCAGTCACACGAAAGCCTCGCACAATGCGCAGATCCATTCTAGGTAGCTCTGTCGCCCTCCAAGACACCAAACAGGTGTGTACCATGCGATTCCCTGAAATCCAGTGATCCAAATGTTTAGCCCTTATCTGGCATTCTCGGCCAGAATCCTCATGAGTCTCATGACCTCTGCGCTTTCGTCTGTTAATATGGTCACCGTTGATTGGGTAGAATTAGAGCGGGAGCAGCAGAGGGAGGCGTAGGCAAGGTTGAGCACTTGAAGAAAAAATTGGGCTTACCGGGACGGGTTTATTTAGATGCTGACGCTTCGAAGAGCTTGGTCGGCTCTTCACTGTTAAAGCGTAAAATGCGCTTAATCGACCAGAAACCCCAAGTGGCATGTCACGTTGGTCGGCCTCATGCTAATCTGAAGGGTAAATATGCCGAAATACAGGGGGAAACAGCGCAAACGCATATTCCCAAAAGATTGATTGATTGATTTTACTCGCAAAGTCCAATTCGCTCTTCAGCAAAGAGGTTTTGCCCACTTAAGGTGAGGTCGTACGCGGCTTCGACCTCAGTGAGTCACTACCGGAATAACGATAAATCTCAAAGGGGAGAGGATGTTGTGAAGGAAAATATCTCTTGCAAAAATCCAAATGGGTAAGTATAGAATATGTAAACCCTCCCGCATGGTTGATCAAAAGCCTATCTTCTTATTTAAGTTAGGTGTGCTTCATGACGGTTTGCATGACAGTAGATTGGGATAGGAGTTATACAGGAAGCAGATTTTGATTTCCGATAGCGGTATCAATATAAAAGCTGCCTGTTTTAAGCTCAAGGTTAGGGCTTGGGTAACGGTTGGAGTTGGTTATTTGAGTTGTTCTTGGGACTAGGGTTGTCAGACCTGACCTGTGGTTCGTCTTTGGGATTAATGCTAGGATTAGGATTTTAGGGCTT